CCAGCTGGTTTTTCCAGTTTTAGTAGAGTTGTGGTCTCCCTCTTGCTCAAGCTGGTCTCGAGCTACTGAGCTCAAGCAATCCACCCACCTCGGCCTCCCAGAGTGCTAGGATTACAGGCATGAGTCACCCCACCTAGCCTTTGGGTTACTGTTTTCATACTCTTGTGCCTTTGCTCAAAGGCTGATCTCCCTGCTCGAAACTCTTTATCTGCCTCTATGCCTTTTCCAACACCAGCCATGTGGGCCGTGGCTTTCCCTCTTCATCTGTACCCTGTGGCTGGCTGTGGTTGGCTCCCTGACCTTGGCACCAGGCGGAAGCTGTCACTGCTCTGTGTTACTGTCAGCTGTGTGCCTCCTCTCCTGAGCGCGAACTCCCTGAGGGCAGAGACTGCAACAATTTCTGTTTCTCTGTTTGTCCTCCTAGCTTTCTGCACAGACCTGTCCCGAAATTGGTTGTTTATAAATGTGTGTTGAATAAACAAAAAACCACAAATAACAGCATTTTCAGGAAAAAACCAAAAGGAAAATAAGATTGAAAGAGGAAGCTCTATTTTCAATGAAAATGGAATTACCAGTATATTAGGATATACTAGGTACTTCAGTGTATCTGATTGTGAATAAAAACTATGAAAAAAAATTCTCCCCAAGGTAGAAATTGTTTTAAACAAAAGATGCTAATCTTCAAAAGGCTTGTATGATTGTTGACACTAAAAATAATTCTACTAAAAACCATAATGTGACCAAGTGAAAATTCTAAGATATAAAATGCTGATGCTTAGAGCACATATGTGTTTGGGTGTTTTTTTTTTTTTTCCAGTGTATAGAAGGTTCCAAAAAGAAATCTAAATTATTCATCATACTTACATCTAGCCAGGGTTAGGTGGTAGTGTTTGATCACTCCACAGAATTTACCTAAATTTACCTAAATTTAAAGTTTGCAGAGGATATTTGCAGGGGGATTCAGTGAACTAAGATCATTCGTAAGTTGTGATTATTATCATAATCAGAGTGATTTGTAACAAATATACTAGGATGTCTAAGTGACCATTATTTTTAAGTAGGGTTCCAGAGAGACCATAATTTGTTTCAGCGGTGCTGCCAAACAGCAAAGAATGCTTCAATGCTTTCTCTACTGGAGCCAAGACACCCAAGATTTAAGAGAAGAAAACTCATGTGAGGCTATCTTTATTCTGGGTTGTTCTAATGAGAAAACTAAAAATGTATGTACTGACTTTTTAAGAGATAGTTTCAACACAATAGAAAGAATTTTCTAAAGATTTGAGTGGCTATCCCAAAAGAGAATGAACTTTTGAAAATGTTTATTCTCACTGAAGATATTCACAGCAGACACCCGATGGTCACTTAACAGAAGTGAAGTGATGAAGAACCCATGTGTTTCAAAGTCTCTTTGAAATCTAAGATTTGTGAGTCCAGGAACTGTAATCTTACAGACACATTAAACATGCATTATAATTAGCATGCATTCAGTCCTTACGTCTCCACATCTATATTCAAAGGTTCCCGTATTACATGATCATCCTGCATGAACTATTGCCCCCTGATCTTTCTTCCCTCTTAACCTGTTCTATATTTTTCCACAGAATTTCTGCCTGTCCTATTCTGGATTTATATGTTTGTTTATACATTGTCTGTCTCTTCCTGCTAGAATGCAAGCTGCATGAAGTAAAGGGCTATGTTGTTTGCTCACTGCTCTAACAAGTGGATAGATAGGGAGAAAAACACAATTCCAGTATCTAATTATAGACCCCAACACTCGTACACTGGTCAGCATATCAGATATGCAAAACACATAATTGTTAATAGAATGAATTTATACCATCATTTACATGTATTTTTTTCTTTTTTTATTCAAAAAGCACATAGTTGTTATGTTTTATTTTGCTTTGGTTTTTTGTGAGACAGAGTCTCACAGAGTCTCGTGGTGTCAACCTAGCTCACGGCAACCTCAAACTCCTGAGTTTAAGCAACCCCCCTCCCTCAGCCTTCTGAGTAACCAGGACTACAGGC